TTGAGCTAATCGCATAGACCGAGTTATCCCGTCAGTTGGCAGCTTTCAACCAAGCGCTGGAATACGCTCACATGCTCGATTAATTTCTCGCATTGTGTTTTTGCCTCAAATTCGGTTCGAGCATCGTCGGCTGTCTGTATAGGAGTTGCAAAAGTACCATAATGGACAAGGAAGGAGACATGTCGAGCACAGGATCAATTGATTTATTGTCCTGAGCTTTCGACTTCTTACGGGAGTCCACCTTCTGAGGTGAGAAGTAGCAACCAGAGCGGCTGAGTGAAGCAACTATACGTACGATGTATAAAACTGCTTGAGCCTTCAAATTAAAGCCTACACAGAGCTGAAAAATTATTTGGCAGGGCAAAACGTTTTACGCCAGTTAAACCTGTTCTCTGGTTTTAAGGAAGAAGACTCTTGGTTTGGAACTAGCGCAGTAGGGGGCGTTTGTACGGGTTCCGCATATGGCTACTGGATTTAATGTGGTACTAGGGACATATTGTTGCATATTTTATGAAGATTACTGACGAGGTGCATTAGCCGTATGAGGCATTTATATAAGGACGAGCAGGCATATCAACCGTTGCACAGTGAGTGCAATGACTCACGAAATGTAAACGAAAATTTTGAAATTTGTTTTTGATTAGAAAGGATCGGTTAGTCAGGGTTGAAGTATTGACTAGGATGAAACATAATCACAAGATTTTTTAGTCACATCAATAAGCAGTCTTTCGAGTTCGACCTTTCTCTATCGTCCACAAAATTAGCTTCCGTTAACAAAGGAATATGTAATTTGAAAAGTCTATTCGGCAATTCATCAACGGTGTTCAGATTTGCGTACTCTATAACCAGTCTGGTTCTTATTTTTTAACTTTTTAAAATGTGCTCTTCTTGAAATTGAATCTGTAACTGTGAAGTGACGGTGAATACAGTTCTATAATTGGACGAGATTAGAAAAACATAAATAGTACGCTTACAGACAAAGCTTCCAAGCCTAAGGCCAGTGAGATAATGTCAGTTTGTGCGGGGCCAAGATGGTAAATTCAAACAAATACTAAGGAAGTTGAGGGAAACAAAAAGGGCGCCATTACCTAAAAAGGGACAATCAACCATAGGATAAACACTATGGTGTTAACTAATATAAAGATGTGAAATAATTGGCGTTAACTTTAATGCAAAAGATTTAAAATCTAAGGTAATGCGTCCAGTGTTATAAGGAGGAAAATATTTATGCTACTGTTAAATGGAGAGAAGTCGGGGCAACACGAATACCTACGGAGAGCGTGCAATCAGGCTTGTATAATCGCATGGATAATTAAAATAGGCCAATCGGACAGGGTTTATAAATGTCTTATAATTAGAACGTATTTTTCTCACAGCGCCCCCATGGCGAGGTCGGGGCATATTGGTCGTGAATAGTGTGAATAGTCTGGGTAGTGGTCAGGGATCGAGTACGCGAAGGGGAACTTCTTGACATATGCACAAAGTGAACAACTGTCACCAGGAGGTGGAGACGACATGCAATCGCCATCTGGCATCGACGTCGGCCATGGAAGAGAGAAGGCATCTTTTAGCGTATTTTTCCAGCACAGCACCGACTTCGCTAGCCATATAGCCACTGCCTCTGCACCCGTTGGCGTAGACGCTTAGAAGCGTTGGCTGATGTCCGATAGACAACTTGAAAGTTTTTGTTGGGATCGACTCGGTGATTTGAAGCGAGTAGGTGTGCGGGATTAGGAAGCAAAAGCGATCTAGTTTAACCTTCACTCAGCCAGGCCGGTATGTGTTCACGCACTCTCTTTTCCAAGCGTCTCTTTGTTCCGCCAATGTATCCTTTTCCACAGGAGCAGGTGCAAGAATAAATGCACACCGATGTGGCCTTCACGGGAGTCGGTCTTGACCTCCGAAGCGTAGGAGGTACCATAAGTGATGTACTTTTGTCGGTTTATTTTCAGTGTTCTTGTGAGTCCATAAATATTTAAAACAAAATAACCAGAAAGCACTTTCTGATGTTGAAGTTGAAGAAAATGACATCATTAGATGTTACACTGCGACAAATTATATGTTTTGGTTCTGAATACTTTTGTAATTACGAGATTTTTGGATCCGTAAATTTTCCAGTGAATTAAAAATAAACTTCAGAAATTTTGTTAATAATCCTTATAGCGTATACGATGTGGTCCGTTTTAATTGCAAACTCCTGTGAGTCCGTTATACAGTCTCATCAGTAGCATAGAAAATTGCATGATTTACCTTATACAAAAAGTGTGTAGCTGTTAAATTCGAAGCTCTAAACGCATGTGCAACGATTGGTTGAGTTTACCAGTAACTGGGAATCGAAAAGTTTTTAAACTGCAGCACACCCCTTGTTCACGTGTTGGGTCTGAAAATAGCTGATTTTCTACGAAACCAAACTGAAAAGGATAGTTTGACACGTGCGCTTTAAAATATGTCTCACTACAAAAGGGCAAAGAAAAACAACTGAGAAAGTCATACTAGTTTGCATTCATTTTTTGCCGAATATGGTTCTTGCGAGTTCAAAAGCCAACATCGTGACGTGATTGAAATGTCTCGCGGTTTTTAATAAACAGCAATAGATGCTGCAACCTCATCTAAGTACACCTTTTCAATTGAATACAGTTCAGAATTTCGGTTGGCATTTCCTCAGATTAACCATCGTTTTTGTAGAAACAGTCAGTGCGTATCTTTTGAGATCTCTCTGTGAGTGGGGCCATGCTGGTCCCAACTCGACCGAAGCGATGTTGGCCATCATCAGCCAGGCATGCCCAACCCCAGGGCTTGCAAAACCTAAAAATAGAACTTGCGATCCGTTGGTTGGAAGCTCAATGGCCTAACAAGTGAGCCACGGGCTCGCTGCTCTGACCGTTATGACCCATAATGCACAGGGATGCTAACCGATTGCGTTAAGAGAAATACTCGTCTCGTTGGGTCTTGGGACTCACTCTCGAGCCTATCAGCAGCCACAAAGTAGCCAGTGCTGCAGGCTGAACGCCATAAAAGACAGAGAAAATTGAGACTGAAATGGCAAATTCTGGCTTATTAGACATCATCAGCCAGCCATACCTAATCCGAGTTTTGCAAACCCTAAGGCTCGAACCGCAGCTTGGTAGTTAGAAGTCCAATACCTTAGGTATTCAGAAGAAGAAGAAGAAGAAGAAGAAGAAGACGCGACCACTGGAACAAGAGCTTTATTTTCCTGACGTTTCGGATTCCGTCGTGAATCCTTAATCATAGATAATGGTATTCGAAACGTCAGGAAAATAAAGCTTTGGTTCCAGTGGTCACGCCTTCTTCTTCTTCTTCTTCTGAACTTCTTCCTCGAACTCACATACTTACGTCTATTGGCAACCTTAGGCACTGGGTGGTGCCTGAGAGAGACCCCGAAGACACAAATGGAAGGGTGTGTCTCCTGCCGCGATCGATGAACTCCTCACTACGCATTTTTTAAATATATATCCTTAAGTTATTCTCCAGTGGAAGTTAAACTCTTATTAATTATTTTTGACAGGCAAATTTTTGAAATTTATTGATTTCAATAAATCCTGCTGTCTACGCTTGCTTCATATTTGTACCGGGGAACAAATGCTTCAAAATAATATGACTGTTTTTGACAGAGCTACTTCGATTTCTTACAATGAATGTCAGGCTCACATAACTTAAATGATAACGAGAGCAGCATCTTTTATGGACTCTCACTAATGTGTAAAATAATCAGCCTATAAGACAAAAGTAAGAGTTATATTAAGTCTCAAAGGCCTCATATGTACGGTTCATGTCCGTTCAATATTTATGAATATTTCCTTTTTCCGTATTCTCCCAGAAACATAAAGATCGCAGGGTTCACCACGTAAAAATTGATGTTCAGGTAAGCCCACACTTCTAGATTTCTTAACTTTTAAAAAGACGGATACACAGCGTTGTCCGTGACATGTTCCTTAAATGTGAAGGTGAAGTAACACTCAACGAAAAATGTCGATCTCGCTGCCGATGGTACCCATTTAACTGTGAACTCGATGGAGCACTGCAACTCTGGCCCGAAAAAGTGTAAACTCGTAGTTCTGTGGTGTGGAAGTTCAACCACCACAATCGGTGATGGCCGCCATTTGTCCGAGAGCAGGGATGGGGACTACAGTCAGGTATAGTGAAAGTAGACGCGCCACCATCTACCCCACTCTAAACCCTCTCCTCCGCTTCAAACGTTGACAAGACAAAGTCGAGATGACCGAGCAGGAATCGGGCGTAAGCCGCTTTCTCCAGATGCAGCCAGAAACACCGCCTAACCTACTTTAGTCTTAAGTGACAGTAGCCTTTTGCGTTGGTACTACTGCACTAAGTACCCCCACTCACCCATAGTAGGTGCCCAGAAAGCTTTGAGGAGTCCGAGTCTAGTATTTCTACAACTGCAACTACTGCTCATTCTGCTGCTTCTAGCGGTGTATCGGAATGATTGTACTGCTGGTATTTTTACTGACAGTAATATTAGGTCTGGAATGACAGTGAT